TTTCTTGGAGCTGGGCATTCTCTGTGGCCCCTAACTGCAGGCATGCGGCCAGCAGCCACGACAGGCACCAACAGCAAACCTAGCCCAATGATCAGGTATGGTTCCTGGGTCACTCCAGACAGGCCTCAACCTATCTTTATCCCACCAGAGATTCCCTGTCCCTGTCACTTCCTTAAGCAAAGCTACCGACGGGGCCCACCCAACTCCCTCCATTCCAACCTCTCTCTCCAGACCACAGTCTCTCAATCCTGTTTGTGATACCAATTTATGTCCCAGCCGCCAGCGAAGGGTTTGGGATTGAGAGTGTAGTTGGGGGTAGAAAGGTAAGAAAGGTTTATTAACTTAACAAACACACAACTACACGTAAATAACAAAACAAAGACAGACAATAATAATTTGTGTTGGCAACTTATCGGCAGTCCCCTCTGATGCCTGATGTACAAGTTTCTCTTCTGCAAAGCTCAGCGAAGTCAGGTGTCCCCGATCAGCACTATCCGAGGGGACGCTGGTATTCAGTCCTTGGGCTCCTCAAGATCTGCGGGCCCACCGAATCCAGGCCAGCAGCTAATCTTAAATTAGGAGCTTCTTTTACAGAGCTGCATCTTCCTTCTACATGATTTCTGGATGTGCCAGCCAATTTATAACTTCTGAGCTATGCTGATAACTTACAGCCATCCAGATTCTCCCTTCTTTAGGACTGACCAATAGCAGTACAAGCCTTGCATTCTTTTGATAAGGTTACTTTTTACTACGCCCCAGGGCCTATTACTTCAAGGCTTTGCTAAATTTACTAGGCCTTACTTCATACAAGGCCTTACTATACCATACAATCTATATCTTTGATTTTAATTAGGCTCTTAACAACAACATATAGCTTCACATCTGCACAAGTGACGGAAAAACATTAGGTCTAATCTTCATAGAGCCTTCAGCAAGTACCTTTATCACACAGGCATAATTTTCAGCTGTCACGGGGAGGGGCCGCTTTTCCCCATGCTCAGCACCAGCTCATTCCTTGCTGGTGAACAGGGGGCTGGGGCTGCATACTGTCTCCCACCAGTATCACAGGGCTGGGGGGCACTGGGAGCGAGCAGGTGGTAACCAGTGAGAGCACGGGGCCTGCACCGGTGTCCCTGGGCCAGTGTCGGCAGGGCCCAGAGCAGGGCGGCAGGAGTACAGGGGTCCCGAGCAGCAGGGGCTCTATGGAGCCAGGCCAGCTGCCCCCTCTGCTTGCCGGCGTAGCCCAGCCTGGCTCCACAGACCCCTGCCAGCCTGTGCCCTGTGTCACGGGGCGGGGCCCAGGAATGGCCGTGATTCCTCCTGGTGCCTCTACCATGCCAAGTTGCCCTTCTAGCACTCTCGTCTTGCCCGACACGTCTTTGCTGTTTATATAATATTAATGGGAGGCTGCCTTTCCGGGGCTTCTCGGACCCGGTGCTCTTGCCCTATACGGATATCTCTTGGTGCACCCACCCTAGGGCATTGCATGGCTCCTTCTGCCCCCAATACCACACCCAAGCCTCGCTGGTGTTCTGGACGTTCTTGTGGCTCTGCGTACGTGTCCTCCCTGGGGCCTCTCCGGTATACGCACCCTCTCCGGGCCTTTACCCACGCACCCTGCCCTCTCCAGGCTCCTCCTCATGCGCTCTGCCTTTCTGGGCTCTTTAGACTTGCCCTCGCCCCTTTCAGGGGCTTCCCCAATCGACTCACCCTTGTCTGGGGCTTCTCCCGTATCCTCGTCCTCACCGGACGCTCTAATCTCATATGTGCCCTCCCCAGGCTCCCAACCGCACGCCCGCTCTTCTCCAGGCTCCCAACCGCGCACCCACCCTTCTCCCGGCTCCCTATTCCCGTATTCACGGTTGCTCTATGGCTTATGCCTCGCGCTTCTTGCCCTCACTGGGGCCTACGCCTTGTGCTCATCGCCCTCTCTGGGCCTGTCCCGCGCTTCTCGTGCTCGGGGTTCAGGTGGCCCACAGCTGTGCCTGGCCCCCCTGACCCTTCTCAGGGTCCTACACCCTGCTGGGCAAGTACCGCCCTCATGGGCTGGGGCTTAATCCCCATGCAGCGCCACACCAGCACCCAAACAGCCGTGCATCCCAGGCACTGCTTGCAGTGCCCAAACAGGGGACCCAGGAACCCCCAGACTCCTAGGGAGCTCCCGTGAGGCCTCCTCACACCCCTACATCCTCACCCAGTCCTCCAGTTTTATACCAGCAACCCAACAGAACTCAAAGCCATAAGCCACCCTGCTGTAACTCAAAATAAGCCTCCTGGCTATAACCTACTCCCCGCACTGCCCTGGATATTCTCCATCTCCCTGTCAGGGTTCCCTCCACCCCATATCGCTCTGCAGAGGCTCAGCAATCAAGCTGCTCTGCAGTAAAACTCCTCCAGCTGCCAGAGGGCAACTGCCAGCTAAGTTTTGGCCTGGGCTGTTTATAAAGGCCTGGCCCTGCCCCCTTCTGGTCACCTGACCAGCACGGTTGCCCCAGCAACCATCACCTGAGCTGCCCTAGTGATTGGCAGCCAAGCCCTCTTACCAATGCCAGTAGCAGGCACCCTAGTGCCCTGCTACACATCTCCCCCTCCCAGGGTGGAGCCTCCTTAGGAGCGGGGCGCGGGAATGCCCCGCGACACCCTGCTTTGGGCCTCACCGGTGCTGGCCCTGGGACATTGGTCCCAAGATGGTGACCAGCGGGAGGGGTACCTGTCAAGGGGCAGGGCTACCCATGCGGCCCTCGACAGCTTGCCAAAACTGGGTAAGTCACCCTCAGCCCAATATAGTCTGCCCCTGGACTAGGACTTGCCAGTGCCAGGCTGTGGGCAGCCCCTGAGCAGGGCTAGCACCATGTCCCAGAAGGCCTTGGCTTCCCCTGCAGCTGGATTTACCTCCTCCCCACCCTGTGGGAAAGGACAGGAACAGGCAGCATTGCCAAGTCTTAAATATGAAGTTATTGTATTAGAAGCTGAAAGCGATCATATTTGCTGAAAAACTATTGTACACTGAAAAAAATGCAAATAAATTTGAAAAAACCATGCAAATAAGTCTTCTTATTTACTTTATATTACTCACTATAAGCCACCAGTGAGTGAGTGAGAACTGGGTCATCAAAGTTGAAGCATTTTTTTATTTTGAGGCAAGCTGTTATAAGAAACTGCTGACTGCAAACGCAAAAGTCAGTTAAGACTCCCTGGCAGGGGAAACACCATGATCACCACAGTGGTTTTCCTACTGTGCAGGGGATAACCACAGTTCTGGCATGGGTGGAGATAATGTATAGTTACCCTCCCACTTTCATTTCCAGTGGGAAGATCTTGGTTTTATGCCCAACTTTATGAAACTGGGAGACTCTTCCCTAGCTTGCTCCTGCAGCCATTTGGCTGAGGGCAAGCAACACCTGGGGTTATCTGAACTCCAGACTTCTGGGCTTGGGTCTGGATGTAGGATGCCTACCAAATGATTTGAAAACATTTGAAGCCCCAGGTGGGGTGCAGGATGTTTGCCGGTAGTAGGGCCACTTGAATGACTAACGGTTCTTGAATGACTAATGGATTTGGATTTGGCTGACTTGGCTTGGAACATGAAAAATGTTCCTTAAAATTAAAAAAACCATCAGTTAAGATTCCCTGGGAGTGACTTGGGTTTACATATGCTGCATCAGTGAGCTGCCTCAAAACTTATGGTACGTTTTACACACAAGGTTCTTTGGGTCAATCTGATATCTTTTATTAGACCAACTCAAATAGTTGGAAACATTTTTCTTTGCAAGCTTTCGGGTGCAAATATCCTTCATCAGGCTGACAAAGCATCACTGACAAAGGGTGTTTGTACCCCCAAAGCTGGGCGGTGTGGCGCTGGTGGCACAGCTGGCCAGCGAGGTACTGGCTGAGTTGGTGGCGGGGACCCTGGTGGTGCTGCTGACTGCGGTTTTTCTGGATAATTATCTAGGTAATTTCATTCAATTACATTACAACTGTATCTAATTACATTGTTATTATAATTTTATTATAATTAACATTACACTGTAATATAATTCACACTATATTGTAATATTAGTAATATTATAGAATATTATACTGTAATATCATTAATATATTGTAATATAATTATTATAGACTATTATACTGTAATATCATTAACATATGATAGAATATTATAATATCATTAACGTATGAATCTTATAATTATATGCTGTACAATTACATACCAATTTTACTTAAGTATCTAGATAAATTTCTAAATAATTAGCGCGCGCCCGCGCCAGTGGGCACAGGGACCATTGGAGGCTTGGGGGGGGGCAGGAAGGCGTCAGTGGAAAGCTCGAGCCCAGCCCCTAGGGAGCCCCTCCCCCTCGCCAGGCTTCCCCAGTGGCCCTGCCCCCTTGCCGGAACCCCGCGGGCCGCTGGGAGAACCGCAGGAGGAGCGAAGAGGAGGATGAGACACAGGACCAGCCGAGCGCATGCGCATTCCTGCTCCTCCTTCCTGTCCCCCGGAGTCCCGCCCCTCCCCGCGCATGCGCCTCCCCCCTCCATCGTGATGGAGCACGTGCTGGCGGACGAGCTGCTC